CAAACTCTTTTTCTTTCTTTCTTTCTTTCTTTTTTTTCTTTTTCTGTTCTTCTCCCTCATTCACTCTCTTTTCCCCATTTCTTCGTTGTTTATCCATCTGTGTATCTCTGTTCTATCAATCTATCTATTTGTCCATCTATCTATCTAACTAAACTAACTAACTAACTAACTAACTAACTAACTAACTAACTAACTAACTAACTAACTAACTAAACTAACTACTAACTAACTATCTATCTATTATCTATCTCTCTGACAGTTTCAGTACATCTATATTTACATTTATATAAATAGGCCGAAAAAAACACATACGCACTTTTGTATGATATACTGTATATATACTGTGTGTGTGTGTGTGTGTGTGTGTGTCTGTGTGTGTTGTGTGTGTGTGTGTGTGTGTGTCTGTGTGTGTGTGTTGCGTGTGTGCGTGTGCGTGTGCGTGTGCGTGCGGTGTTCGTGTTCGTGTTCGTATGCGTGTGCGTACGCGTGCATACATACATACACCCAGATATAAATACACAAAAAATTTTCTTTCCCTCCCTCCTCCTTTTAGTCCCTTCCTGCCACCGGATTCATTCTGCTCGATATTCTTGCATTCTTGTGTTTTTACAAGAAATTTCCTCATTATTCTATTCATTAGATAGAGAAGGAGAGAGAGAGAGAGAGAGAGAGAGAGAGAGAGAGAGAGAGAGAGAGAGAGAGAGAGAGAGAGAGAGAGAGAGAGAGAGAGAGAGAGAGAGGGGGGGAGGGAGGAGAGGGAGGGAGGGAGAGAGGGAGAGGGAGGAGAGAGGGAGAGAGAGAGAGAGAGAGAGAGAGAGAGAGAAGAGAGAGAGAGAGAGAGAGAGAGAGAGAGAGAGAGAGAGAGAGAGAAGAGGAGAGAGAGAGAGAGAGGGAGAGAGAGAAGAGAGAGGGGGAGAGAGAAAGAGAGAGGGAGAGGGAAGGGAGAGAGAGAGAGAGAGGGGGGGGCGGGAGGCGAGATAGAAAGAGAGAGAGGAGAGAGAGAGAGAGAGAGAGACAGAGACTGAGAGAGAGAGAGAGAGAGAGGAGAGAGAGAGAGGACATGCTGAGACTGCTTGGATAGAGAAGAGAGAAGAGAGACAGAGAAGGAGGGCGAGGACTGATGGGGATGACACGAGACGAGGAGAAAATGCGAAAACAAGGGAGAGAGAGACAAAGCGATTGACAGAATGAACATGGATGGATGGAGACATATAGAGGGAGAGAGAGGCCAGAGAAGGGAGAGGGGAGAGAGGATGGGAGGGAGGGAGGGTGGGTAGGTGGAAAGAAGGGAGGGAGGGGGTGGATGGGAGGGTGGGAGGGAGGGAGGGAGGGAGGAGAGGGAGGAGGAGCAAGGCAAGGAGGAAGGAAGGAGAGAGAGAGGAGAATGAGAGAGAGAGAAGAGAGAGAGAGAGAGAGAGAGAGAAGAGAGACGAGAGAGAGAGAGAGAGAGAGAGAGAGAGAGAGAATAAGAAAAAAAAGAGAAAGATGAAGAAACAAGGAGAGAGAGAGAGAGAGAGAGAATAAGAAAAAAAAAGAGAAAGATGAAGAAACAAGGGAGAGAAGAGAGGAGAGAGAGAGAGAGAATGGAAAAATATAAGAAAAGAAAGAAAGAAAAAAAAAAACCAGAGAAAAAGACAGAATTAAAACCGAAAGAGAGACAGAGGGTGGGGAGGAGGGACGGAGAGATCGGACGGAGACCGGGCGGGGAGAGGGAGAAGGTAGAGGGAAGCAGGAGAGATAGAGATAAGACATCTTGCTAGTAATCCCAGGGCCTACTCCCGGGGACCTTGTAATTGTCTGACGAGAGGCTATCAACACCCGAGCCATCAGGGTTCCCCGCCGCGTTGCCCCTCGGAGAGACCCAGAGGAGTTGGGATCTTCAATTGAGTTCTCTGTGACAGCTGGAGCCAAAGGGGTATGTAAGATTTTTTTTTTTTTTTTTTCTCCTTCTTCTTCTTTGCTTTTAGTCCATCCGAAGTTTTTTGCTTGTTTTTGTTTTGTGTTTTTTTTAAGTCAGTTTATAGCTTTGATGATTCCGTTCGGTGTTTTATTTTTAGTTCTCTATCTCTCGTTCTTCTCCTCTCTCTTCTCTCGTCTCTCGCTCTCTCTCTGTCTCTCTTCTTGTCTCTGTCTCTGTCTTCTGTCTCTTCTCTGTCTGTCTGGTCTGTCTGTCTCTGTCTGTCTCTGTCTGTCTGTCTGTCTGTCTGTCTCTCTTCTCTCTCGTCTCTTTCTCTCCCTCTCTCTCTCTCTCTCTCTCTCTCTCTCTCTCTCTCTCTCTCTCTCTCTCTCTCTCCTCTCTCTCTTCTCTCTCTCTCTCTCTTCTCTCCCGCTCTCTCTCGTCTCTCCCATATCTTTTTTCTTGTCAGTTTATAGCTTCCATGATTCGTTATGCATTTTATTTCCCATTTACATGTACAATATTTCGACACATTTTTTATGACTATTATTGAAAACTATAATTTCGAATTAAACTGGATTTTGTCTCACCTACAGTACCTATAGATCATTCTCTCGCACATATCAATATATTGGAATCTTCCCATGTCGCGATCTTGCCCCTGCAGCCATTGGCTCCTTTACACTACCACCGCTCTAGCTATTAACTACTGTAAAAGTCTTTATCTTAAATGGAACTGTGATAAAATACACAAACACAGATGTGTGTGTGTGTGTGTGTGTGTGTGTTGTGTGTGTGTGTGTGTGTGTGTGTGTGTGTGTCACAATGTATGTACACACACACACACACACACACACACACACACACACACACACACACACACACACACACACACACACACACAACACACCACACACACGACGCACACACACCACATTCGCACCCACTCACACACACAAACACACACCACACACACACACACACAACACACACAACACACACACACACACACACACACACACACACACACACAACACACACACATATATATATATATATATATATATATAATAT